TTCACTAGAGAGTCAGAGAGAGCCAGAGAGACAGAGAGCAAGAAATCATCTTCCAGGAGGATGGCCTCGCTATAATTCCTTCTCCTCTAGTCTCCTCTTGGGATTTTGGGCATGCACATGCACCCTGCATGAGTTTTAAGCTGTTGGGTTCGAGACTCGAACCATGGTCGACTACATGGGAGCCCAGCTACATAACCAATATGCCATTTGCTGGTCTCAAGATTTCTTTCTTTTCTTAGCACCACTACGAAGTCTTTTCTTTTCTTTTCTTTCTTTTTTTTTTTTTTTTTTGAGAGGCTTTTGGTATAAGGTGCATATGCTTGCCAGAAAGAGAGAGACAGAGAGACAGAAAGCAAGAAATCACCTCCAGGGAGGATGGCCTTGCTGCAATCCCTCCTCCTCCATTCTCCTCTCGGGATCTTGGGCATGCAAGCACATGCGCCCAGCGTGAGTTTAAGCCACTGGGTCTGAGACTCGAACCATGGTCGACTACATGGGAGTTCAGCGATATAGCCATTACACCAACTGCTGGTCCCAACCACCACGAATTCTTAACACGAGATGAAACGTGAACTTCTTTGGATATTTTAAGTCAAACAAAATATGCCCATCTTCCAACCGCTTGCCAGCAAAACCAGTCTTTGCTGATCAGAAGGAATTCCTTTCTTATTCTGGATTTTGGCTTTTATATTTTCTATTGTATCCGAGGGTTCAAACTCAAGGGTAATGGTCTCTTGGTGGTGGTCCCACCTCAGATGGCTGACGGGAAAAACTCAGGCCAGGAATCTGAACTGCAGCGGCCGTGTGGGATCTGGCTTCCTGAGCAGCTCCTACCCCTGTGCCATGAAGCCATCCTCAGACCTGTTTCCATAACTATAATGAAGAAGTAACCGGCTCAGGGGTAGTACATGGCTGGCATAAGGACTGCTATCGCCCCCGCTGAACCCGCAGCAGACATGACTGATCGAGCTCAGAGTCTGATCTCTCCATGACCACGTGTGGCTTCAGAAGCTTTTTAACACTCTAGCAAATGACTGGCGTTGGCAAATGAGGTGAAAGCTATTTGCTGTCACCGTACTAGCTAAGCCCATCCATCTCTGATGTTCCACTAAACATCTGATCTCAGAAGCCCAAGTAAGGCACTAGATAGCTGTGAAGACTTACAGGGAAGGCTATTTCCCACCCATGTGTGCATGCATGTGGGTGCATCAGAGAAAGAGAAGGTCCTCGGCTGGGCTACACATTTTCTCTCACATACCCTACAGCAAAAGTAGGGACAGAATAGGACACTCAGATGCTGGAATCTCAGCAGAGCTCCTCGTGATTTGATCAGGCCTCCTGGAACACTTGCATGGAGGCATGAGGAAGTCAGACTTTTTTTTTTAAATTGAAATGCTTGATAAAAGTCTTAGAGTCTTACTAGTACTGGTGCCACCAGACCCTGCCCTATTTAAAGGCAGCAGCTGGGGCTGGCAGGTGGCATGATGGTTAAGGGAGCTGGACTCCCACATGGCCGATTGCAGTTAGAGTCCCAGACCTGGGGGTTTTTAATTCTCTGAAAAAGAATTATTTTATTTAACTTTTATTTATCTATTTATTATTATTATTATTATTAATTTGGCCAGAAAGGGACAGAGTGAGAGAGATAGGAAAGTGAGAAAGCAAGCCGCCAGGCCCGAGACTTGAATTGCGGTGGGCCACATGGGAGTTCACTGCACTTAACCGCCATGCCACCTGCTGGCCGCTAAATAAAATAATTCTTAAAAAAAAAAATAAATAAAGGTAGCAGCTACTAATCAGTTCAAGTCAATGGTTGGCATACGAGAATATAAACCACTAGTGCTAGATCTGTTTGTTTTTTTTTTAAATAATGATTTATTTAATTTTATTTATCATTATTATTATTATTAATTTGCTACAGTGCATGTGTGCTCACCATAGACAGAGAGAAAGAGAGAGAGAGAGGGAGAGAAAGTGAGAAAGCAAGCCGCCAGGTCTGGTACTTGAACCACAATCGGCCATGTGAGAGTCCAGTGGTTTAACCACCACACCACCTGCTGACCCCATTCTTTATGTTTTTCTAAAATAAGTTAGAATCTGAATTTTTATATATTTGATAGTCCTATTTTCAAATATTAGCAACTAAGTTATTATTTTTTAGAATTATTAATTTCTAAATTATTATTACTGTTATTTTTATTCACCAGAGAGAGAGAAGGGAAGTGAGCTGCCAGGTGCAGGACTCGAACCACGGTCAACCATGTGGGAATCTAGTGCCTTAACCACCACACCACCTGCTGGCTGCAGCAACTAGATTCTTGAAATGTTTAAAAATAAAGAAAGAAAGAAAGAATTGAGTAGGCCAGAGTACATCTGTGACTGCGGTATTTCAGTCCCAGCTGTCACTTCTAGTGGAATGGGGACTAGTCCAGGCTCTGGATCTAGACATGCAAAGGCCCCAGTTGTATTTCTGCCACTTATCTGAATCCTCTCATTTAAAATGATGTAAAATGAGAATAATAAAATGGGCTACTGTGAGGATCAAACGAAGGAATGATTTAGAAACACCCAGAACAATTGCTAGCTCATGGTAACAATCAGTATGCTTGATAGCCACGGCTGTCCTGTCTGCCTCGGGGCTTCACGGTCACCGAGGAGCCTCCAACCTGCCACCTAGTCCATCGCCTTGAACCTGCTTTCTCCCAAGCTTTGGTTGTGCGGTGTTCCCGGAACTCTAACTCACATACCCAAGGCGCTCAAGCATGCTCTCACACACACACACCCTTCCACTCTTGGGAGGGTTTTGAGATGCCAAAGCTGGTTACCAAGGACACGTGTTTGGGAGACTTCCCTGGGGTTTACCTGCAATTTGCCAGCGTTGGTTAGAAGGGAAGGTTGCCTTAGAGCAGGGGACTCGCTAACATGAACCTCCAGGAGATGCTGAATATGTCTACTTTAATTTCATTAGGTCCTGAGCACACGTGCACACACACACACACACACATGTACATGCACACATATAACATTCGTGCACATCATTTGCCAAAATACCTACGTTCCTTGTTCCTAGAAACTGTTCTGGCTTTCAGTCTACCTTACACTCCTAGGACCTTTACGGGGTGGGGGGGAGGCCCTGCCACAAAGCCCCTGGAAACTAGAGCCCTGATTCCCTACTATTGCTTAGCAGGAAGCTGCAAGGCCGGAGTGTAGGGTGGCTAAAGCACAAAGAACAGACAAAGGGGCTGTAAAAGGGAAAATTTACACCCAGGTTCACCTTTGCAGACTGCACCCCGACTGCATATATTTGAACCCAAGATCATCTGACGCCAAAGTGCCTGCTCTGACCACTGTTTGATACTGCCACTTTAGGGCCACAGTCCAGGACCGGGTTTCCATCCCAGGAGTCACTAGACAACACGGCGATGCAGTGATCTAGTTTCCCTTTTTTGTTCATATGGGTCTACATTTCAAAAAGCCCTAAGAAGTGGTATTTTTGAAAAGTAAAAAAAGAGTTAAACAAAGAGCAGCCACAATTCCATCATAATTGGAGTGATTCTTTTATCGCCTAATTATTAACAATGACCACGGATAATAATAATGATCACAGAGGTCACATTTTACAAAATATCCATGACCTTATCTCAGTAAGTCAAAAATGTATTTTTTTTTTTAAGGTTTTTGTCATAGGGACGTGCACTCACTGAAGCGAGACAGAGACAGTGAGAGGGAAATTGAAAAATCACTGGGGTGAGGGGCAGGTGTGGGGGGATGGTCACTGCAATCCCTTTTCCTCCATTCTCCTCCTGGGATTTTGGGCACTCGTGTGCATGTGCCTGGCATGATTTTTTAAGCTACTGGGTGTGGAACTCGAACCTCGATCAGCCATGTGGGGGTCCAGCGCCTTAACCACTATGACATTAGCAAGCCCCTAAAATGTATTTTTTTTTAATCTTTTCATTCATCTTTGAATCTTTAAAAATCTGTAGAAGCTAGGCTTCCATGAAATACACTATTTTACTTGGCCCTTAAGAATTATCCTAGAATGGGGCGAACAGGTAGTGAACTGGTTGGGGTGTTGGACTCCCACATGGCTGACCACAGTTCGAGTCCTGGATCTGTTGACCTGCTTTCTCACTTTCCCTTTCTCTCTCTGTCTGGTCAAATTAAAATAATAATAATAATAATAACAAAACAAAATAAGTAAATGATTCTTTAAAGAAGAATAAAAGAACCACCCTAGTATGCAAGCATTGCCAAGATTAGAACTCCTCTTTTGCAACTGGGAAAACTGAGGCTCAGAGAAGTTAGGTAACTTGACTGAGGTCACAGAGCTAGTCAGTGCAAACTGCGGACTGCAGCCCCACCTCCAATTTCTAGCACTAGGTATTCTGTGTCCATCATGGATTCCTGACCTTCAGCCCTGCGCTTACACCACTTGCTCCCATCACCCACCCTTCTGCTGCTTTCTAGCAGAGACCTGAGAGGGACCTCAGCTCTCCCATCCAGGGCTCCCCAGCCTTGTCAGACGTTGGATGAACCCAGTGTGGGGACTCCTGAGAACTGTCCAGTCCTATATAGGAAGTTTGCAAGCCAAAGGAACTTTCAGGAACAAACCTATATATAAGGCAGCACGACTGAGACCAAAGTTGTCTTGGGCTGCAAGGCTGTTTTTCTGCCCGATACTTTCATGAACCCTAAGACACACCTAGGGGTTTCCCACCTGGCACCCCCATTCTCTGACAACTATTCACAGGAGTCTTTGGAGTCCTCCTTCTCTGACAGCTACTCACTATGTCTCGTATTTCAGAAGGCCAAATGAAAATCAAATATTGACTCTAGATAGGATCTCACAGACAGACTGAAACACCGATTTCTTTGCTTTTGGCTGAACTTGCACAGCTCAGTGGTTTGTTGGGCTGATGAGGATACGCTGATTGGTTATGGTGGGCCCAATGAACACAAAAGGGAGAAGCTAACGAATGAATCATTATGTAACAGGCACAGCTTGGCGGACCAGATCTTTCAAAACAAGGGCTGTAATGAGAAAATGATCAAAGGGGGAGCTGACAGGGAAGTTGGAGCCCCTCATTTTCACAGATGGGGGACATGAGGCACAGAGAGCTGGGGCGATTTGATCAAGGTCACACAGCAGGGCTGGAACCACCACCCAAGGTTTCTGTCCCTCTGGAGAGACATGCTCCCACCACACCCTGCTGTCGTGAGCTTCGAGAAGCCCAGAGCACCAAGACTCACCAGGGTCGCTGAAGAAGGTAAGGACAGGGAAATGGCTTCTCCCTGTCACCTGTAGGCGTCTTCCTAGGGGCAGCTGCCAAGGCCTCACTGACTTCCTCTCTGGGCGTCTGCCAGGGCAGCTAGGCCTGAGAACCTCTTGGAAAGCTGGCTCTGGGCTAGGTGAAGGAGGCCTCCCTGCAGAAAGAACACTCCAGGACATGGAGTGACCAGGTCCCAGGGTCACTGTGTGGCCATGAAGGGCTTAGTTCCATCCAGATTGTACAGCTGCCTCCTGGCACGGCCTGGGAGTGCTCCAGGTGGCCAGGCTGGTTTTCCTGCCGGCTGCAGGTGCCTTTAAGAGAGCAGCCACAGCTTATTGGCTGAGCACTACAGGGCTGGCTCCCCCTGCATCTTTACCTGAGCAGGTGAGAGCAGCCAGGCTAGGGACAGACTAGGGACTCAGGTGAGTAAACAAACCATGGCAACCAGCTGGCTCTCTCCTCCTCCGGGCTCTGGTCCTGGGCTTCCTTCCTCACCCACCCCCAAGGCGGGAACCACCTAGGGCTAAAGAAAAGGCATGCACTCTGCCAGGTGCTTAGAGCTCTTGCTAACATAAGCTGTTGGTAACCAGAGGCCAGGGTTGTTAGTATGTCTTCTCTTTTGGATGGGAAAACTCAGTCCTTGGAAGGGCAAAGTGACGAATCTGGTTTACACAACTTTTGGGAGGGAGGCTGACAGAGTAGGACGGTGTAAGGATCCACACCTGAGTCTCCCGAGTCTCCCGTCTGTGGCTTCCTATCAGTGCTGCTGGAACACTTGATCCCCTCCTCTGTAATGCCTTTGATGAGTCACTCACTGCCTCAGTTTCCCTGTCTGTAAACTGGTGCAGTCATGCGTGTGTCCACACTCACTTCCGTCTCTCTTTCTCTTTCTGGTGAGCGCACGTGCCCTATAGCAAAAACCTCTCCCCCCTCCAAAAAAAAATATATATACATATATATTTAAATAATTATTTAACTTTATTTATTAATTCACTTATTTTTAATTTGACCAGAGAGAGACACAGGGAGAGTGAGACAGAGTGAGAAAGCAAGCCACTAGGTCCGTGGTCAGTCATGTGGATGTGTCTAGTGCCTTAACCACCATGCCACCCACCCACTGGTCCACCCTAAGGATATATTAATGAATGAAAAGAATCAAGGATTATATTCTAGACAGAGGGGATATGGATATAAAGAGGTAAACAGATTAGATAGATAACAGTACCATGAAGAAATGAAATAGGCTGATAGGATAATAGAGGATGACCCCTTAATTTTGGCCAGAGGGCATATATGCTTGCCAGAAGGAGACAGAGAGAGAAAGCGAGAGAGAAAGCACCCCCCCCCTTTATGGAGAAGGGTCATGCCACAATCCCTTTTCCATTTCTCCCTTCTTTTGGAATTTTGGGTGCACACAGGCATCTGACTTGTTTCTCAGGCTGCTGAGTAGAGGACTTGAACTTTGCCATCGGCCATGTGAGAGTCAGCCCACCACACTGCAGGCTGGAATGAGGGTAAGTATTTTTGGTTATGTGGTCAGGGACGCCCCCTCTAAGAAGGTGATGTTAAGGCTGACACTTTGATAACTAATGACAAGGAACCACTCACTGGAACTGCATATTCAAAGACCCTGAGACAGGTATGTTTAGAGAACAGAAAGAAAGCTGTTTTGGCTCTAGTAGAGTCCACCCCCTGCCCTTCCTTTTTTTTTTTTTTTTTTAATATTTTACTTAATTTTTATTATTTTATTTATTTATTTATTTTAATTTGACAGGAGAGAGAGAGAGGAGAGAGAGAACGTGAGAAATTGCCGGGCATGGTGGCGCCCACCCTATGGGGAGAAGGTGAAAAAGCAAGCTGCCAGGTCCGGGACTTGAACTCTGGTCGGCCCTGTGGGAGTCCAGCACCCCTAACCACCACGCTACCTGCTGGCTCATGCACTTCCTTTTTAATAGGTAAGGAAACTATTCAGAGAGGTGACTTGTTCAAAAGTCCCACCTGCAATTCCTTCCTTCTTTCTTTCTCCTTATGTGTTATGGAGGGAAACTGAAGCCTGGAGCACATCGGCATCCTTGGGTTCCCACCCAAGAATCATTTACTAGCACATCACAGCTATCATTTGATGCCGCTTCTACTCCGTAGGCATATGTAAACTCCCAGAGGACAAGGACTATGATTTTAAGAGTTTACCACACTGAAGAACAAAGTCTTGATGACGGGATGATAGTATTTAAAACCCAGTGTAAACGGCCACCCCGTGGAGCTTTGCACAGACCCTTCCTGCTGTGTTCCTTCCCACTTTCTTTTCCCACAGCATGCTTTACTCCATTTTTTTTTCTTTTTTTAGGTTTTTCCCCTAGGAAAAAAACCTATGTGCACTCGCCAGAGAGAGAGAGAAAGAGAGAGAGGGAAAGTAAGATATCGCCCCCACCCCCGGGGGGGGATGGCCACGCATTAATCCCTTTTCCTCTCAGGATTTTGGGCAAGCATGTACACATACCTGGCATGATTCTCAAGCCACTGGGACTGAGTCTTGAGCTGAGGTTTGCCATGGGGAGTTCAGCATCTTAACTGCCATGCTACCTGCTGGCCTCTTTACTCAGATTTTTTTTTTTAGAGTTTGTTTTTGTTTTACGGAGTGTGTGCTTGCCAAAGAGACAGAGAGACAGAAAGTGAGAAATCACCTTCCAGTGGTCATGGCCATGTTGCAATCCCTTCTCCTCCATTCTCCTGGAAATTTGGGCACACGTGCCTGGCATGAGTTTCAAGCTGCCAGGTCCAGGACTCGAACCACAGTGGGCCATGTGGGAGTTCAGTGATGTAACCATTATGCCACCTGCTGGTCCCACTAAGTTTTTTTTATTTTTAATTATTTTTTTAAATTTAAACTTTTTTAAAATTATTTTTTAAAAATTTAACCTTTTTTTGGGGGGGGGAACCAGTAGTTAGTGTAATGGCTATGTCGCTGGACTCCCACGTAGTCGACCACGGTTCGCGTCCTGGACCCGGTGGCTTAAAACTCATGCTGGGTGCATGAGCATGCATGCGCAAGATCCCGAGAGGAGAATGGAGGAGAAGGGATTGCGGCATGACTATCACTCCTGGGGGGGGGTGATTGCTCGCTTTCTCCAAAAAAATTTTTTTAACCTTTTTTCTAACATATTATTTACTTATTTATTTATTTTAATTTGACCAGACAGGGGGAGAGAGAGAGAGAAAGAGAGAGAGAAAGTGAGAAAGCAAGCCACCAGGTCTGTGATTTGAACCATGTCAGCCATATGGGAGTCCAGTGTCCTTAACTACCACTCTACCTGCTGGCCCCTAAATTTAACTTTATTTATTTATTCATTCATTTCGATTTGACCAGAGAGGGAGAAAGTGAGGGGAGAGAGGTTAGTGAGAAACCAAGCAGCCAGGTCCAGGACTTGAACCATGGTTGGCCATGTGGGAGTCCAGTGCCCCTAACCATCACACCACCTACCAGCCCCCCACTCAGATTTTTTTTTTTTTTTTGGAGAGATTTTCGCTATAGGGCGCGTGCGCTCGCCAGACAGACAGAGAGAGACATAGAGACAGAAAGCGAGAAATCACCCCCCAGGGGGGATGGTCACGCCGCAATCCCTTCTCTTCCATTCTCCTCTCGGGATCTTGGGCACGCACGCACACGCGCCCGGCGTGAGTTCTAAGCCACCGGGTCCGGGACACGAACCGCGGTCGACTACGTGGGAGTCCAGCGACATAGCCATTACGCTAACTGCTGGTTCCCCCCACTCAGATTTTTAAAACCTCATATTCTTAGTGGTAGCTTTGACATTGTCATTTTGAGACTATTGGATATGTAGTGTGGGATAAAGCAAATGAGATATGTTGGTATTGATGAGAAGCAGGACTTTTATTGTAGGAAAAAGAAGATACAAGGAAAGAAGAAAGGAGTTACATAAAAACCATATAATCCAGGGCCAGCAGTTGGCGTGGTGGCTAGGGTGCTGGACTCCCACATGGTCAATTGCGGCTCAAGTCCTGGACCTGGTAGTTTGGTCTCTCACTTTACCTTTTTCTCTCTGTCTAGTCAAATTTAAAAAATAAATAATAATAGCAAATAAGATTAAATAAATAATTCTTAAAAAATATAATCCTCTAATTGGAAGTTTCCATATGAATTTCTTTTTGTATTTTATTTTTATTATATTTTATCTTTTATACATTCAGTTACTGTATATATTCACAGCTTACAAAATGAATTTTCCCAGCATGAATACAGTAAATACTACTCCAGTTAAAGATATTATCATATACATTATCATCAACAGATTATTTTCCATTTTTATGTTCCTTAAATGTTTTCATTCTTTCTTTTTCCTGATTCCTTTCCTCTTGCCCTCCCCCATTTCCCATCTTCCTCCCACACTGTCACTAATATCCGTAACTGTTCTGTATGTTTTTATATCTTCTGGTCTTTCAATTTCTGACATAGAGTTCAGACTTTTGGCATTTATTAAGTGGGGACATACAATGCTTCTCTATCATAGTCTGGCTTGTTTTGCTAAGCAGTAAATTTTCCATATTCATCCACTTTCTATCAAATGCCAGGGTTTTGTTTTTTATGGCTGAGTAGTATTCCATACATACCACTCCATGTGGATTTTTGATATAGCTCATCTGAAAACAAATAAGCTAACCCCATTCCCTAGTCCTATGTACCATTTTCAGGTGCTATAAACCATGGCCAGCCTCTTACTGAGCAGTGAGCATTATCAGTACGCAGACTGTGATATCTAAATACTATTTTCCATTGAAAGGAAACAGGGTATTTTTAAAAATAAATAAACAGCTAATTCCAGCTCTGGTGTAGAAAATGTGCAGTCTAATATGCATTTAGACTGTCTTCTAGTGCCACAAGTCAAGGAAACTAGAGTTGTGTCAAACAGACTTGGGGGACAAGTCAAAGAAACTCTCATTGGTCAAAGTCAGGACAATTTGAATATCAATTTTAAAAAGGCAATGGGTTAAAAAATATAAATCCATGAGTTCTCAATGATATTTTTATTTATTTTTTAAGAATTATTTTATTGGGGCCAGCAGGTGGCATGGTGGTTAAAGGCATTGGATTCCCACATGGCTGACCACGGTTTGAGTCCTGGACCTGGCAGCTTCCTTTCTCTAGTTCCCTTTCTCTCTCTCTGTCTCTTTCTGGCCAAATTAAAAAAAAAAAAAAATGGGATTAAATAAATAAATAATTGTTTTCAAAAAAGAATTATTTTATTTAACATTTTTACTTATTTATTTTAATTTGATCAGAAAGGGACAGAGAGAGAGAGAGAGAAAGTGAGAAAGCAAGCTACCAGGTTCAGGACTCAAACTGCAGTTGGCCATGTGGGAGTCCAGCACCCTTAATCACCACGCCACCTGCTGCCCTCCCCAATGATATTTTTTTTACTAAACAAAAAACCTCAGTGGTCATATTTGGAAGACGTTAGCAAATTGACTCATTATTTTGAAAAGTGGTAAAGCAAGTGGAAACAATTAAGCATTTATTCTGTTTTTCCTGTAAGAGTTGGCCATGTGGGAGTCCAGCACCCTTAATCACCACGCCACCTGCCGCCCTCCCCAATGATATTTTTTTTACTAAACAAAAAACCTCAGTGGTCATATTTGGAAGACGTTAGCAAATTGACTCATTATTTTGAAAAGTGGTAAAGCAAGTGGAAACAATTAAGCATTTATTCTGTTTTTCCTGTAAGAACTGTGCCCCAGGCAACCAAATATTAGGGGAAGTTGCTTTTTTTTTTTTTTTAAGTTTGTTTACTTAGTTCTTCCATGAACGAGGGGGGAAGGGAGCCAGAGACAGAGAGATGGCACCTCCAGCATGTCTGGACTCTGATCCACCCCAAACTTCAGCCAGCCCAAGTTCATGGACACCTGTACACACCCCATGTACTTGGAGGTGTCTAGATGTGAACTCAGAACCCTCGCATGTGGACAATCTCTAAGGGTGCTGAGTTTTACCACTATACCACCACCCTACCCTGAAGTTGATGCTTCATAGAAGGAAATCCAAAAATAAAATAAAAATGGAATGAAGAAGGACCAGCAGGTGGCGTGGTGGTTGGAGTGCTGGACTCTCACATGGCTGACCACGGTTTGAGTCCCGCCTGCTTTCTCCGCCTCTCC